AAACTGGGGGCTGTTTTTTTAGCATGGGAAAGTATGGGAAAGTACCCAGACATCTGTCAGACAGGACGGAGAGAATGACCCCTGTGATCACCGAGAGGGCTGGCTGCAGGACGTGGGAGGGAGAACAAAGCCTGACCAGGACCTCATCCCGCCTGCCTGCTGCCCACTGTGGGCACAGGTCTCCTGAGGAAGACTGCCTGGCCAGACACACTGGAGCCATCGGCTGCCTTGGCCTCACAAACTGGCATCAGGCATCCTTGTGATGCTAAGCTGGGCCCTTATGGGCAGCCTCAGAGCCCTGAGCAGTATGGCAAGGCTGTGGGGACAGGCTGGTGTGGGGATTCTTCACGTGGCAGATCCTGCCCCCACACCTGCTACCAGGGGAGCCCAGCTTCCTCCCTAGTGCTGGACAGATGGGCATCAAAGTCCCTCTGTGAGATCCTAGCACACAACACAGGAAGGTGGCATGGAGCTCCACTACTTTTGTGAAGACCCCACTCCCGCACCCCACCTTCATACCTCCCCAACGTAGATGCCCAGGTCCTCCTCATCATCAGTGCGGTAGCAAACCATCAGGCCCAGCTTGTCCCGGTGGCTGGTTTTATATAGCTCCACCTCCTGCCACAGGGGGGGATAGGAGAAGCAGAGGAAGAAAGCCCCAGACACATGTGAGCAAGGTCACAGGCTGCAGGGGCGGCAGTTTCGGCCCAGCCCTCACTCCCAGGAGCATGTCACCTGAGCTGAGCTGAGTTTTCAAGGGCCTCTCTTCCCATCCCAAATGGTGCGTGTGTCTGGTGGTCTCCCCACCATGAAATGCTCAGACACACACAAGACACATGGGACGCACAGGATACAGACATGTGCGGAACACAGACCAACATAGACTGACCCGACCCGTGCCCTCCCCGACTCAGCTCAACTTGACCCAGGAGCCTGAGTAATGGGCTACACACAGGAAAGGGCCACAAGGCCCAGCCTCCTGGGGGGCAGCAGGAGCCAGGCCTGAGCTGGGCTGCAGACAGCCATCCTGGGGGCCGGCTCCTGACGCTGGCCGCCCAGCTCACCTCATACTCCAGCTCGTCCATACGGTCTGCCTCCTGTGGGCCGCCCTCCATGAACTCCGCCGGGTCATAATACTCATGGCTGATGGGGGGGCTGCCCAGGAGAAGGGGGGCGTCAGGCTAGCCATCTGCTCCTTTCTCTCCCTAGCCCCAGCTCCCAGGCTGGCCAGTCCCAGTGCACTCAGCTTGGAGCCCTGCTCTGGGTGGCCCCTTGGAAGGAGGTGGCCCAGCTACCTCTTCTGGAACCCCTTCCTTCTGAGCTTCATGCATCCATGCAAAGACCGGGAATGCTTCCTGAACAGGAGTGCGAGGGCATCTGCACTGAGGACCCAGGAATGCCTAGCTCTCCCTGCCCTGTCCCACCCCACCCTGTCCCGCCCCCCAGCCCAGACTCCTCTAACCATGCCAGCCAGCAGGGACCAACTTCTCCAAAATGCGGGTACCCCTCCCACCCGGCCCTGGCCCCACTCATGCAATGCCCCCAGGAGTTATCCAGGCCCTGGAGGACTGCTGGGGAGCGGAGGAGGACCCACTCTACCTCCAGGGATAGTCCTCCGTGTCCCGAGGCTAAGCTCGGCTGCTGCCAGCCCTGGGCCTACCTCTCTGCGGAGGAGGGATCCCGAGACAAGCTCCCTGCCGCCCGGGTTTAGACTAACAAAATGAGTCAGCGCTCACAGTCATGAGCCACCAGGACTGGATGAGAGGCCCTTCTTCCAAGTGGGCCAAAGAAAGAAGCCGAAGAGATGAAGGAAGTTCAGAGCACGGAGAGGAATGGGACAGACAAGGATGCAAGAAGATTCAAGGGGTGATGCTTGTGAGGCAGAAGACAATGGGGCGGCAGAGGAGGAGAGAGGATGGAGGAGTAGGAGCGGAGGACCTCAACCTTCCAGCAGCAAGGTCCCAGGATGGTACTCCCTTGGCCCTGGGGGTAGAGACAATGGGGAGCCTGTGTGTCAGACTCCCCTGGCCCTGTTTACCAGCTGGCGTCCAGCCTGAGGCTACAGGCCCAGAGATTTCTGAGCCCTGGGGTGCCACAGTCAGCTCTGGAGGCCAAGGAGCGTACTTTCTGCCCGAGAGGGCAGCCAGTCAGGGTCTCCCCACCACACCCAGAGCTGCAACAAGGTAGCCTCTGAGTGGCATGGGGACGGCTGCGCCAAGTGGCGTGCCCTGTCTGGAAGCAGGGCCTGGGGCCCTCCTGAGGGCGACTCACAGCTCAGACAGGACATACGGCTCCAGGATGACCACAGGTGGGGTGGGCGGGTGCAGCTTGCCCAGCGCCATGATATGCTCGAAGGTGATGTCGGTCTGCGTGCCACTGTCCACCAGCTGCAGGTCATGGCAGGAGCTGTCCCCCCGGAGACGGGGACTGCGTCTCAGCACCTGGATCACCAGGGGCTCCTTGGAGGAGCGCAGGGCCTCCAGGGTTTGCTCCTGAGAGAGCTTGGAGAGCTCTTTCCCGTTTACCTGCAGCAGAGACACGCCCCCGTGAGGACACACCCCCATGAGCTCTAATCTTCTCAGCCAAGGAATCAACCCTCTGCTCTGCTGACCCTGGTGCCTTCATTCCCAGGCGAATCCCACTTCTCAACCCTGCCCCAACACACTGCTGTCTGGGGTTCACAGGGCCACACCCTGAAGGCCGTGGTGACCTATGCCAGTGGGAGTCAGTCAACAAATGGGTTCAAGTGGGAGGGTCGGAAGAGTAAGCAGACTCAAAGGATAAGATCTCTGTCCCCCAGGCAGCAGCAGCCTCACTGCAGAAGAAAGGCCAAGCCTAGGAGAGGTGCCAAGGAAGTGGGTTCCTGGTGGGCATCTCCCCTGGATCCTGACCCTGACAACCCATTTCGCAAATGAGGAGACTGAGGCTTGGCAAGACGAAAGGAGTGAGTAGGGTCATGAGCCAGGCTGGGCTGGTCAGAGTGGGAGACAGGGAAGGAGGCGGCCATCACAGGCTAGGGGCCCAGGAGAAGGCTGGATTAGAGCAGCCTCAAGGGAAGAAGGGGTCCTCCTTGGTAGGGAGGCGAGCAGACTAAGGACGGAACAGAATTCCAGGCATATGTTATGGGGCCAGTGAGGGGGAATTAGAAAGCAATTCCTGGAGGAAGGGAATGGTACAGGGTCCTCTTATCCACTCATTAGCTTGGAAGGGCTGTCCTGGGCCTGGGGAGACCACACACTATCAATGACACCCCAGATGGCCACACCCAGCCATTCAGTGCTGAAACAGACCCTCCCGGAGAGCTGCAGAGGAAGCCCAGGAAGAGGGCGGGGCAGGCTCCCTGAGCCAGGAAAAGTCGGGGAGGTTGGTTTTCAGGCAGAAGCAAAGTACCCGGACAGTCAGCACGGAAAGTACGGAGCCCAGGGACCCAGCACCTGCCCATGGAAGAGCTTCTACAGGATGAGGGGGAGAAGGGCCCCATGAGGGCAAGGGCACACGGGCACGAGTTGTCCCAGTCTTCACATCGTCACAGCGCCACCTCCTTCCCTGGGTGTCTCGGGGTGGGAGGGGTAGGGTTCTTCTGGGCTGCAGGCTCCTAGATGTCATTCCAGGAAGCCAGGCTGCCTTAGGAAAGCACAGGGAGTCCCAGGGATCCCTGGCCAGCCAACGGCTCTTCTGAGCCATGGAACCCAGATAATCACCTTTCTGCTACTTGGTTACATCCTTGTAGGTCATAATTGCAGTTTTTATGTCTCCCCTCTCCCCAAACTTTGCATGGTCAGAAAAGATTTTTCCAATCAATTTAGTCTCATTAAGAAAGAAACATAGGTTTGTTGGAGAACATTTGAAAAATACAGAAAACCACAAGGAAGAAAACAAAAATCACCCATCATCTCCAAGACAGAAATGCTGTTAAATGTGCAGGCACATTTCCTTCCTAGTCTTTCCCTGCATTGTGACCGCAGGCCCCGAGGCCTGGAGCACACCAGCCTGTGTGTGGACCAGCCAGTGTATTGGGTTAGTCCCTACTGTCCATCACTAGTGGGTTTCAATTTTGTTTTATTATAAAGAAGCTTTTGCAAAGACAGATTTTTGTACATCTTGTGCATATTTTCTACATCCATCTTTGTGTAATCCAGAGTTGCTATGTTAGAGAAAATTTCTAGAACTGGAATTAATGGATCAAAGAGTATAAAGGAAACAGCTTGTCGGCCAAGAGGATCCTCATTTCCAACTAATGGTAAGTGTAGGATTGTGGTCAGTAGAAACCAACAGGTTCCAGACAGCCGGAGAGGCTGCAGTTATAAAGGGAGTATGGGGTGGAAGCGGCGTGGCCGGGAAAGGACTGCAGATATGTATTTGGGAAGGTGTGTGAAGGGCGGTAGCAGAGGGGCCTCAAGGAGTGGCCTTGAAGGCCATAGCCAAAAACTGTTAGGAAAATTTTGAAGCAGCTGTTAAACACAGCCCTTATGAACATTTAAAGGGTACAAGCTGACAACTAAATGAATTATATTTAAAAAAACAAAAGCAATGAATACTCCAAGCTCAGGGCTCTCTATTTTACTACACTTGCCAGTCGTCTGTGCCCTTAGGGTTCCCTGCGTCTGGAAGGACACCACATGATGCTGTGCGACTGCGCACCTCTTCCCAGCCCCACCCACATTCTGTGACATCAGGCTGGTGGCTGTGGTGGGAATATTTACACCACGGAAATCAACAAACACTGCAAAGCAGGACTTTTTGTTTCGGAACATTTACCCGCTCCGCAGTGCCTGCAGGTCAAGGGCTTCCATGAGAAATGGAAGGAGGAGCTGTCCTCAGGATCTTCGAAAGGGGAGACATTTTGTATTTTCATCGTGTGCAGTGGGAAGCTCAGGTGACACTGAGAAACACCGTGATGTATTTCTCCCTGGAAACGTTACCCATCGGCACCGTTGCTATGGAAACTGGCCCAGGCCGTGGGGGGTGGTGCATGGTGGGCTGGGATGTCAAGAGGGGGATGGGCACACACACCACCTAAGCACGTCAGATCATAGCGTGATGCCTCTGACAGCCCAGCAGCCTTCCGCTGACCCACGTGGTGCCAAGCAGGGGCCAATGTCTGGGTGTGGAGGCTTGGAGCTCCTGGACCACTCCTGCAGGTGAGTGCACGGGCTCCTTCAGTCTCCTCTGTCCTCATCAGTCATAACTGGCCCCAAGAGCTAATGAGGGTGTGTGGGGCAGAGACAGGCCAGGACATGTGAGAAATGAGCCCCTCCCAGAAAGGGCGAGAGTCACCAAGAAGGTGGAGGACTATAGAGCAATGAGCAAAGCATGGCGGGGCCAGGCCTTCGTGCCGGAGCCAGTTCTGCTTCTTCTCCACTGGCCTCAAGCCCTGCCCTCACCCGACCGACAAGAAGAGAAAGACACGCATGCCCTGGCAAAGCTGCCATTTGAATGTCCCTGCTCCTGTTCTCTGTGTCTGGACCCAGGCCAGCTTCCCTTCAGAGTTCCTCTCAAGCTGCATGCAAACATCTAAACTGCCGGAGCTCTCCCTCCCACCCCTGTTCCTACTGCTCCAAACCCATGGCAGGCGATTTCAAAATGGATCCAAGTCCTAAATGGACAAAGCTTTAAAACTACCTTGGAGGGGAGAGAACGATGCCTTTATGACGTTGAGGTAGAGAAGCAATTCTTCAGATAAATAATGGGCCAACAAGAATGGAAAAGATACACATTTAAAATATAAACTGTAAAAATGTTAAAACTTCCGGACAACAAAAGACACCATGAATACAGCAAAAAGGTAAGACAGGCTAAGAGAAAAGCCTTACAATGCCTAGAAGTGATAAAGGATTATCCAGAATAAAGAATTCCTACAAAACACCAGGAAAATACAGAACTCAGTAGGAAAGCAGGTTTTCAAGGAAAAAGGAACCCAAACCAACCCAACAGGCAAACACTGGAAACAGCCCAAGGGGTGGGCGTGGGGACGCCAGAGGTCAGGGGGCTGGCCCTCAGCCCGAGCTGGGTGGGGAAGACTTCCCAGAGCTCCTGGACAATGCAGCCCTCAGCTCTGCCTCCTTGTCAGCTCCCTGGCCAGGCTGCGGCACCTGGCTCCCTCTTCTACCCAGAAGGAATGCAGGTAGGATCCTGGGTAGACATAGGGCCATCAGCTGCACCCAGAACCCTTCAAGTTCGGAGAGAGCAACCCTAGCTAGCTGAGCCATTGTCAAAAAAATCTATTAGAAAATGTAAGGTTGCGGGTGGTGTGTAGCTCAGTGGTAGAGCATGTGCTTAGCCATGCACAGAAGTCCTGGGTTCAATCCCCAGTCCCTCCTTTAAAAAATAAACAAAGAAACCTAATTACACCACCCTCCCCCCCAAAATAGATGTTGCCTTCATCAAGTGTAAAACTCCTTCCTTTGGAACAATCCAGAAGAAATCCACTTTATCCTCCCAACACTTCACATACCTGAAAACCCACTTGAATTGTCCCACATCCCCCTAGCCCCTGTTCCCAGTGGCTTTCGCCTTCTCTAGGGCTCGGAGGCGGTCCCTGTTGGTCTGGCCACATGCCAGGCCCAATTCTTGGCCTCAGCTGGAAGCTACCTATGGCAGCCAATCCTGCCAGTTTCATAGGGCGCCACCCCACCTGAGACTGCGCTCTACTCAGGACTCTCCGCACAAGGGCACTCCCTACTGCTGAGATGGGCCCAAGTGGGCAGCCTTGTGGACCACAGTCCCAGCTGGGCTGGAAGTTGCTTTGCTTCCACTGAGGGCTCTGCAGAAAGGGGCCCCTGCCCTGCTGGGGACAGGGGCCATGAGCCTTAAGGTCCCAAGAGCAGTGGCCACCGCCGGACTCCGGGGCACCGGGGCACTAAGCTCCCCTCATGCTGGCCAAGCCCATCACAGAGCACGTGCTCCCGTCGGGAATCTTACCCCAGAGGATAAAACAGGCAACATTTGGGAGGAATTTGTCCATAACTATAACCTTGAAAATGTTCCTCATACCCTTTGATCCAGTAAATCTGCTCTAAGTAAGAGATCCTGAAACAATAGGTATTACATGAATTACAAGGATGTTGAGAGCATTCATTATTTTTTTATTATGGTAAAATATACCTAACACAAAAGTTACCGTTTTAACCATTTCAAAGTGTACAATTCAGTGGCATTTAGTGCATTCACATAGGTATGCAACCATCGTGTCTATTAAATTCCAAGAAATTTTCATTCCCCCCAAAGGGAGGCCCCCTACCCATTCTCTCCAAATTCACCCCAGCCCCCGGCACCACCTCCCCATCGCCTTTCTTCCCCTCTAGACATTTCATGTAAGTGGAGTCCGACAGCAGGCGGTCTGATGTGTCTGGCTTCTTTCCTTAGCATGGTTTCCAGGCCCATCCATATTACAGCAACTGCCAGGACACCATTCCTTTTATGCTGAATACCATTCCATCGCATTCTACAATATTCCCTTGTGTGGATGGACCTCGCATTGTCAACAAACATTGGGTGGTTTCCACCTTTGGCGATTGTGAATCAT